TGGGACGAACAAACAAAAACATATAGATAATTATTATGACAAAACTGTGTGTTTAAAAAGAAAAAGAGAAAATCTGATGTAAGTAGAAATAGTAATAATTGCTAATAACCTCGTTGGGACTTACATAGCTTAATACTTTCACGGCCGCGACAAATATCTCGAAAGTTTCATAAAATTAAAGTATTTTATTCGATAAAATATTAAAATTGCACAGCAACTTTATGTGACATTACTTTTCCAACATTCTTACCTCTTGCGAATCTTAATAAAATGAAGAAATTATAATTGAAGAAATTAAGAAATTAAGAAATTAGAAGAAATTAATTTTCGAAAATTAAATTTTAAATAACTCCGTCACCCACATATGGGTGTCGCGGTGGTCGAGGTATTAATAGCGAAATTATAATATACTTTTTTAATCGTGCAATTATGATGTACCTTATTAATAATACCTTATTAATAATATATTATTATACATATATTAATAATATAATACCTTATTAATAATATATTATTATACATATATTAATAATATAATACCTTATTAATAATATATTATTATACATATATTAATAATATAATACCTTATTAATAATATATTATTATACATATATTAATAATATAATTCGATTAATAATATAATTATGATACATTCTTCAAAAAGTTACTCTAAACAGATTTTTACAATTCTAATTTTCGCGAAGTCACGTCTACGTGACTCCGGCCGTCAAGGTCTTAATAAATCAAACAAAAGTTTCATCAGAAACCGTAGAAACTTACATATGCGGTGGGAATAAAGCAAAGAGCCAAGGGTGCGTAATAAAGCCTGAGTGAAAAAATGTCGACTCAGTGTTTTCTTCGCTTCGAAAGAATTATAAAGATCCAAAGGTCACTTGAAAACTGTGAGGCCTCGTGAAACGAAAGGGGAAGCTTTCATGTATCATAGCATTTGACACGAATTTATGTTCGGAGACATTTCGAGTAGCATGGTATAGGCTGGTTACGGCCGATTCAACGCGCGAGGGACGCAGTATAATCGATTGGCAAATATTTAATATCCGTTGAAATATGCCCTGGTACGGGATTTGATATACGTCGGAACAAAAGGCCGAGCTCTTTTGCCGTGTACATGAGGGATATTTTACCCGATGTTGGCCAAGAATAAAGTTTCCTGGTACGTTATTAATTGTGATTCTTTATTGGCCGATGCAGGCTCGATTTTTCACTACCAGGTAGCTGCGACCATATTTCTGGATGTACGTGCAGGCGCAGTCAATCTTTCTGATACGACAAAGTCGTTTGCAGTTTCCAAAATAATGCAACTTTTTCTAGTTTATTGGAATTATAAAAGTTGACGAAGAAAAATCGTCCGCGATCTTTTCATTTTACACGTTAGTACTGGGAAACATATTTTTCGGAATTGCAGGTTTCGGATTTATTCGGTCGGTTTCTGTATTTTCTGCTTGGCAAGAACAGTTGAGATACAACGAATTGTTTTGGCCAAGTTTCATACGATTTTATTTGTAAATTGATCAAATAAATGACAGAAGGATTAGTATTTTTTATTTCATCATAATTTCTGTAGCAAGTTCGAAGTTGTTCCAGATTTATGTTGTTTTTAGAAAGTGTTCCGTCTTGCAACGGAATTTTCCAGCTGTGTCCGCCCGACTTTCTCCGGGACGGACTACCTTTCTTCAATCCCTAAAAAACAGTTTGTTTACCGGGAACCTTCGGTGCAGCGTGGCAAATTGACGGTCCTTCAACGTGCAGTTGACAAAAGTCACGTTCGTTGGGCCTCCAATTTCGTAGAGCCTTCGCCTGCAGTTTCTAAATTTCCAATTCCTTCGAGCCGTCTCCTTTCCGGCAATAAAGTAATTTCTGCAATTTCGGATAACGCACACTTCATCGGCAACATTTCCTTAATTTATGACAGGGTCGCCAGCACGCATCCCTTCGGTCGCCTTTTCCGGGATTTCTTACTACCTGACACTGGGTACGACCGGGACTCCTAAGGTCCCTTTCCACCTCGCGATCAACCAATGATCTTCAAGTTTTCTCTCGGCGAGAAACATATAAAAACGAGAACTCTTGACCACCTCGCACAGTCATTTTTTACTCCTGCGTAACCTCGTTCGTATCGTTCAACATTGCTCGTCACTCTAGTCTACGTCTCATTCATTCCATCAATTCACGAACTATTAAGTAAAGCAGTTGTTCATTTTTAAGTAAACGGACAACGATATCGTCCTATTTCGTCGCGCAGCGTAATCGGCCTTACAACCCGATAGATAGTTAATATCGCGGAATAACGATATCAGGTGCTCA